TCTGACTTCCCCAGAACAGGATGTGGAAATTTTGCTTTTGCTTCATTTTCCTTCTTATTTACATGATGTCAAAAACAAAAACAAATCTGAACTTCATAAAAAGAGACTTTATTCAAAAAAAAAATTTTTTTTTTTTTTTGCAGAGTCAGGGGGAAAGGGCTACCGCAGTAACTCTTGACTGTAAGGTCTGCAGGTGTCTTGAAAATTAAGCAAAAAGGAATTTAAAAAAAGTCAGGGGGACTGGCCCTGTGGTGCAGTAGGTTAATCCTCTGCCTGTGGCGCTGGCATCCCATATGGGTGCTGGTTCAGGACCCGGCTGCTCCAATTCCGATCCCGCTCCCTGCTATGGCCTGAGAAAGCAGTAGAGGATGGCCCAAGTTTTTGGGCCCCTGCACCCGTGTGGGAGACCCAGAAGAAACTCCTGGCTTCTGGCTTCGGATCGGCACAGCTCCGGCCCTGGCGGCCATTCGGGGAGTGAACCAGCGGATGGTGGATCTCCTATCTCTCTCTGTAACTCTGCCTCTCAGATAAACAAATAAAACATTAAAAAAAAAAAAAAAACAGGGTAGAAAAAACAGATGAGAAAGTAGGACGACTGGATGTGACCCTATCATAACGGAGGTCAGAGAGGGCATCACCCTGAAGTCAGCTTATTCTCAGAGGGGGCTGGTGAGGAGCTGTGAGCTGGCTCAGGCTGAGCATGGCCAGAGTTCAAAGACCTGGAAGAAGAGTTTGATTAACAACACTTTGTTCTAATTAATGGGTGAGGACAAACCATTCAGCTCATTATTTGTGAAGTGAAGAGTGGGATTTTGGAGGGTCTGTGCCTTGTCTAGATAAACAAGGGAGATATGCATGAGTCTTTTCTAAGTCATAGGGGAAGCAGGCTTTGCAGTAATCACCCTTTGTTTCCAGGAACACACTAGGGTAGGGAGATTTCTTAACCCTTTACCCTTACTTTTTTCCAGTAGTGCAGGGCATGAGTAAAGTTCATTGGCATCAATGGCCACACTCAATGGCAGGATTTAAGAGGTTGGAACTTACTACATGTTGCTTTGCTGGTATAGAAGTGGAGGGATCATCTTTGTTGGCAGAAAAAGTCAGCAAGGTTGTCCCATTCCAGACATCAGCCTTTACTTGTGCCCTCCTCTACCTCCTGTTCTGTTCCATACCATTTGGAAGTAGTCATGAACTACCTGTGACCTGGAGAATACTGAAGATCTGGATTCTTTCAGTTCTGCTGCCCACTTTCTATAACCTTATTAGTTCACAGCACAACGTTTTCTCTTTAGAATTTCAACTATCCCCTATTAGTCACTGCTTTCAGAAAATAATGATTTACTTGGCTATAAAAACAATGCATGTCCATCTTTGAAAATATAGAGACTATTGAGACTTTTAAAGAATCCTGGGAAGTGTGATGTTAGCAAGATGGCAGAATAGGAAGCCCTGCACCCTCCTTCCCCACCATAGACACACCAATCCCAAAACAATACACAGACAAATTCCCTCCGTGAGAAATTTATAAACTAGTTGAGAAACTCCTGCTCCCTGGAGCAACATAGAACCAGCCATGTTGAAACTGGCAGGGAAATTTGACGTAGTTTCCCATCATAACCCCAATGCCCAGCACAGCATCAAACCATTAGCTCCCAGCTTCTCCCTGGGAAGAAAAAGAATTGGACTGTGTGTCCAAATTCCAACTTTTCCAGAGGCTACCCAAGGGATTGGCTCTGTCAACTTACTCAGAGCACTGAGGAGACCTAGCACAATCAAGATACCTTGGGGACCGTGAAGAACATTCAAATATGGAAGTTTGGACTCGTTTGAAGATTTAAGAGGCTCCAACAATCTTTGATCAGACAGACTTGGTCAGGGTTTTCTCCTGTGAAGATGAGAATAAGTGGCTGATATTCTTAATGCATAATATATATTATGTATTATAATATATAATATATTGTATATATTATATATAGATATTAAGAATATCTATATCTATATATCTATATAGCAACACTAAGAGTCAAGGAAAATATGCTCCAAACAACAACAAATAAGATGAATTTCCAGAAACCAACACATTGAGCTGGAGATACATAATTTACCTGATAGAGAATTCAAGACAACTTTTGTAAAGATAACCAATGACATCAGGGAAATAATGCATGAACAAAGTGAGAAATCCAGCAAAATATCAAACAGAAATCATGAAGCTGAAAACATAATAACGGAACTGAAAACCTTACTAAAAGAGTTCAGCAGCACAATAGATCAAGCAGAAGAAAGGATCAGAGAATCTGAAGACAAGTCATTGGAAATGATACAAAGATGAAAAAGGATAAAGAAAGTTTAAGGAAATTATGGGACACCATAAAATGGGTATATATGATATTACACATCAATAGATATTATGCATTGGATAATATACAGTAGGAGTCTCGGAGAGAGAGAGAGAGAGAAGGGGGCAGAGAGCTAATTCAAATAATGGCTGACTGTTTTAGATTCCACATAAGTGAGATCAAACCATATGTGTCAATCTAGGTCTGGCTTATTTCACTTTGTGTGATGTCTTCCAGGTTCATCTATATTGTTGCAAATGCCAAGATTTCCTTCTTTTTAATGCTGAATAACATTCCATTCCATTCCATGTACAGTCATGCACTGCATAATTCTGCTTTGTCAACAATGGGCTGAATACATGATGGTGGTTTTCAGCAGCCTCATCTGTTGTGTGTTTACCTTGTCTCTTGATTGGGCAGTTCTCTTGTGTTTGATTTAACCTTGTGTTGTTTTGTTTATCATGTCCAAATAGTCCCTGCTAATGTTGCCTGTAAGAGGTTATGCTAAGTGATTTACTTGGAAATGAAACTAAAAGAGATTCAGGATCACAGGTAAAAATCAGTCATCACCCTTGCCCACCAGCCAGGCACATCCCATGTCCCCATAGCTACATTCTTTTTTTTTTTTTTTTTTTTTTTTTTTTTTTTTTGACAGGCAGAGTGGACAGTGAGAGAGAGAGACAGAGAGAAAGGTCTTCCTTTGCCGTTGGTTCACCCTCCAATGGCCGCCACGGGCGGCGCGCTGCGGCCGGCGCACCGCGCTGATCCGATGGCAGGAGCCAGGAGCCAGGTGCTTTTCCTGGTCTCCCATGGGGTGCAGGGCCCAAGCACCTGGGCCATCCTCCACTGCACTCCCTGGCCACAGCAGAGGGCTGGCCTGGAAGAGGGGCAACCGGGACAGAATCCGGCGCCCCGACCGGGACTAGAACCCGGTGTGCCGGCGCCGCTAGGCGGAGGATTAGCCTATTGAGCCGCGGCGCCGGCCCAATAGCTACATTCTTGAGGAACAAGAACAAGGGTGAGAGGAGCAGCTAAAGAATCTGCTTCATTGAAAGCAACAAGACTGAAGATTCAAGAATGGCCTTTATCAGACATGGAGAGACTACTAACAACCTGCACTGAAGACCAGACACGGAAGCACATCCCTCTTAGTACATGACAATCACAGCCAAAGCAAAACATTTGTCTGCAATGTTGAAAGACAAGGCTGGACTCAATGACGATACCAAATGTATCATTACTTCTGAGTGGTTCAAATGATTCAAGAATTATTATTCATTACATGTGGTGAAAGCCAATGGTAAGACAGTGAGTGTTGTTGTGAAGGCAGCTGAATAATTTTTGGAAACCCTATACAAGCTGATTATAGTGAAAAATTACTTAAGAAAATGTTCAATGTGGACAAATACTCCCTATTCTGTAAATGGACGTCGGGAAGTGCTTTCATCCATGAGAACCAAGTCAGTGTTTTGGAGGATAGGGTGACAGCCTTGGTTGGGGCAATGGTGCAGGCTATAGATGGAAGCCTTTTGTGATCTGGCACAGGGAGGCCCCTCAGTCATATTCACAAGCACACATCCGTGGAGTACTGCAGAACTAGTTAAGTCATGGCTGACACAGCTCTTCTTCCAAGATACCCTCCCAAGGTGCTACACCAACAAAACAGGGAGGTTCTGTCTGGAGAGTAACACACCCTTCAGGATTTTGTGTGGTGTTGATAATGCTCATCCCCACCTCCTTCTTATGGGTGATCTTCATCCAGTACCAAGGTGGCATTGTGTCCTTCATTGCCTCTTCAATTCAAGCAGTGGATCAAGGAAGTATAACAGCTTTTATGGCCCACTGCTCCCTGAGGAGGACCTCTGTCTAAGCTATTACCACAACTGAGGAATACAGGGAAGTCCCTGGTGTAATTCTGCAAGGGTCATACCACATATAAGTGCATCAAGAACCTTGCTTGAGCTTGGGGTGATGTCACCAAGGTGTATCTGATGTCATTCTGTTTCCATTTTCCCATGATTGTTATTCTGACTTTTCTATCTATGAATCAATTATGGCAATTGATAATAACTCTCTTAGAAAAAAAATCTCAATTTTCAAATTCTTTAGATTAGAGGTGTATATCATGTTCTTTACAATGGTTTTAGTCTCATCAGTAGCCTCTATAATATGCCCTTCCTTGATATGAATCTAATGTTTTCAGATTTTCTCATTTAAGTTCAGAAGTTGGCATCTCTCATGGCATTTCCAGTTCAAATGCCTGCAGTGCTAGGCAAAAAAAAAAAAATGAGGATTTAAGATCCTTAAAAAGTGCCCCTGTTCCTATTGAAGGCCAACACCCACATCTATCCTCTGGATTCTACCCACCTCTCCTTTGCAGGGACATGCTAAATTTTCTGGTGATTTGTTGTGCAGCAAGAGATAATACAGTCATGAAGTGCAGAGGGAGACAGGAGTGAGATGAAGAGATAGCTGGAAAGAGAAATTTCAAGCAAATAAACCTCATTTAAATGGTAGTGGAGGAGTTCTATGGACAAGGAGAAAACTTGGAGGTAAAGTATGGAAAGGGGATATTCAAGAGTGTGAGATTCATTAAAGTTAAATAAAACCTAAAATTTAGCAGTTTAAAACAATAAACTTTTTTTTAAATCTCTCTAGGAATTGAGGAGCCAGCTTAGCTGGATGGGTCTGGCTCAGGGCATCTCATGCTGTGAGCTGGGGATGGAGTCATCTAACGGTGTGCTGGGGTAGGAGAACCCTCACGTGGCTGTTGGTAGGAGGTAGAAGGGCCTCAGATCTTCCCCACAAGGGTCTCTCCATAAGGCTGCTCCTGACATGGTAGCCTGAGTCCACTAGAGAAAGTAATCGAGATACAGGAAGAACAACTTAGACAGAAATGCAATTTGCTTGTGACCTAATCTTGAAAGTGATGGACTATTGCTTCTGCCTTATTCTATTTGTCCCACAGAACCACCGGGACACAATGTGAATGCCAACAGGCTGGGATCCTTGAGAGACATCTTGCAGTGTGGGCACATTTTAAATAATAATTTGTGTTTCCTGGCGCTAGCCTTTTCTTCAGAGCAGGAAAAGTTTCTTCCATTTTCATCCTGACACCTCGGAACATTGCCCCCAATCTCCCCTGCTATCCTCAATCACATGATGTTGGGCTTCCTTCCTCCATCCTCCATGTCTACTGTTTTTTCCTGCCATCCATTTCATCCCATATGTTTTTCTGTAGATTCTGGGAAACTTTCTCATATTTTCTCTCCATAACAAGTTTCATTTGATTGGCCACCTTTTGAAGACCTAACTACATTCTGCTTATCTTTGACTTTCCTTTTATGATGGTGTTTCTGCTAACAGCTACTGGCTAACAGCCACTGTGGGGAGCAACCCGGACTAGACTAAGTTACTGGAATTAAGACTTATTCTATGCATCTGCTGTCCCACAATATGGCGCTGAGAAGGGAGTAACAACTTCTACGCAGCTGCCTCTCGCCAATTTGATTGACTGAGCTGCAGGAGCTGATCTTGCTCCTGATTGGAGGAGAGCAGCGTACTCGGCATGTGGGTACAGAGTTGGGATTGGTGGAAGAGGACTATAAAGGAGGAGAGAGACAACATGCACCAGGAACATCTAGGAGGAACATCTGCCTGAAGGAACACCTGTGCAGCCCCCGAAAGAGCCGGCCGGCGGTGTGCCGCTCCCCTGCGGAAGTGGGGAAAGTGGCTGGGGGCCCGCCCCTCCACGGAGGTGGAGGGACGGTAGCCAACCCGGGAAGAACCAGCAGCAAACCCAGGGAGGGCCGAGCAGACGAAAGAACAGCGCAGGGTCCTGTGTCGTTCCTCCACGAAGACGGGGAGCAACAGCCACTCTTCACTTATTTCCTCCTTTCCTATCCTAATTATATTAAATATATTGAGAGCACAGTGCAAGAGCTTCCTAACTCTTACTCCTTTTTCATTACTTAAAATTTTTTGGCCAAAGAATTCTCCCACAATGTACCTCAATTCTCCACCTCTTTGCTACAAAATTTCTCCTTAGCTGCCATATTTATTTTTTTATCCTTTTTTAATAATTTTTGAACAAAGAAAAACCAGTATAACCCTGGTGTTTGGACTATAGACAGGGAAATATTTTTCCTTACTGCGAGCCTCTCTGCTGTTAGTATCTTTCTCCGGGTTCTTAGGCTTGAGGGCCAGTGGTTGTGAACTTGGGTTTCTAGGCGCACAATCCCATGACCTGGCAAAACAGAGAGGGAAAGCAGATCCACACATTCTGCCAGCAAGGACATTTCATTTCTCTCTTCTCTCTTGGGCAAAATGGCCCAAGAAATAACTCTGTTTCTAACTTACTGGAAGGCTGTGTAGTAAAGATTTTGGCCCTTCCCAAAATGAAACATGACCTCTGTTTTGGCTTCTGTGAAATAACGTATGCCCACCTGATAGGAGTGTGTTTAAGGTTGGGGCTTAAGGTCTTGACAGGAAAGGCATTGGTCATACCAGGAAGGTCAACCATGTGATTTTGGGAGAGGACTTTGGAGACTGAGTTCAACCACACATGCAATCGATCAGTCATGCCTACATAATAAAGACCCACCAAGAACTCCAGGCCAGAAGCCTGGGTAATGTCCTCTGATGAGCAACACCCTGAGTCTTTTCACATATTAATTCCAGAAAGATAATGCATCCTGACTCCACAGGAGCAGAGAATCACATAAGATTCCTGTGCGGAACACTCCCATTATCCCTACCTAGACTCTGCCTTAAATATCTCTTCTTTGGTTGATTTTAATCTGTATTCCTGCCCTGTAATAAGTCATAATTGTGAGTGCAGTGGTTTTCAGTGAGTCCTATGAGGCTTCCCAGTGAGTGAGTTATCAAGCTTCAGGGTGATTTGAGGGAACTCTCAAACCTACAGTTGATATCCTAAATGACCTGGGGTGGAAACTGTGTCCTCCAACTTTGCAGTCTGGCTAACTCCAGGTAGTGGACTATGCCATGTTCCACGCAAGACCTGTACTACCTCCTTCCTAAGGCTGCTCTTTTATGTCAGCTAAAACCAACCCAGCAAAAGCCAGGTAGGCAAAAGGCAGTCCAAGTGTTGAAGTTCTCTCACGTGTTCTCAGCATCCTTGTCTCATCTCTCAATTTCATCTTCACGTGTCCTACAATCCAGCACACAGTGCTTGAATTCTACCCACTTTTTGCTGACATCATTTTTGCTTGTTTTCATGCTCTGTGGACACATTAAGAGACATCATGGATTTTAAGGTGGTGAGGAGGGAACCAGTTGGTGGAGGGAAATATATGCAGTTTTAACAGGATCAGATGGAATAGATCTAAAATAAGATGTAGCCTATTTGGGGAGGAAAGGAAGTTATTGAAAAGCTAAACATTTATCTGAGCCTTTTTTCCATCTGTCTGTCCTACCCATACTTTTCCTATCCCCTTCCATGAAATGCTACGGAAGCCATATCCAATACCTTTTTTCCTACTTTCCCAAGGTTCTAGCTTCAAGTATATGCTCACCATAGAAACCAGAGTTATCAACAATAGAACATGCTGTGTCCATGACAACCAGGAGACCCAAGGCTGTGGCTGCTGTTAGCCATCTGGTTCCAATCTTGTTCTTTATATTTCTCTTTTCCTTGTGGGTTTTGCTTACTGTTTTGTTCTTGTACAAAGGGTAGGTGCACTGCCACACAGACAGGCAGACAGGGAAATGTCCATGCTGTCTTCCGGGAGAGGTGACACAGTATCTGTGCGTGGTCGATGCTGTGGGAACAGTTGAGAAAAGAAGGGGCAACTTCCTAGTAACAATATCAGTAAGGCCTCCTGGATTCCTCATCCGAGCTCAGCCTTCCAGATGGTGAGTAAGTTTTGTTGGGGGAGGTCAAAAGGTGCAGAGAAGGGAGAAAACTGGACTAGAATGATGATGGACCTCCACTGGAGAGAGAGGGAATTAAAGCAAAATGTGGCCCAGTCTCCCATTGTGGAGACCTTAGAAGGTCAACCAAAGAGTCTGAACTCATTCCAGAGTCAATTATTTTATTATGTATTTATTTATTTTTAGTATAGTGCAATCATCCACTGATATATGGATGGGTTCCAGGACCTCCTGCAGGTACCAAAATCGGGATGCTCAAGTCCCTGGTATAAAATGATGTGGTGTTTGCATATAACTTATGCCCATCTTTCCATATACTTTAAATAATCTCTGGATGGGGTCAGCATTGTGGTGTAATGGGTTAAATCACCACCTGCAGCGCCTGCATCCCATATGGGCTCCACTTCCAATCCAGCTCGCTGCTAGTGCACCTGAGACAGCAGCAGAAGATGGTCCAGGGCCCTTGCACCCACATGGAAGACCCAGATGCAGTTCCTAGTTACTGGCTTTGGCCTGGCCCAGCAGTAGCCATTGTGCCCATTTGGAGAGTGAACAAGCAGATAGAAGACTTCACTCTTTCTCCCCCTCTCCCCCTCCTTTCCTCTTCTCTCTCTCTCTCTTTCTCTCTCTCTGTAGCTCTGCCCTTCAAATAAATGAATCTTAAAATAATCTCTAGATGACAAAATGTCAATACAATGTAAATGCAACGTTACTAATTGTTATGCTGTATTGTTTAGGGAATAATGACCCAAAAAAGTCTGTTCATGTTCAGTACTGATGCAATCTGATTTTCAAACATTTGTGATCCAAGTTGGCTGAATCCATATTCAATGCGTAGATATGAAGGGTCAACTGTACTTAGGAAATTTTGACTCTTTGTGTTGACTGCCTAGCTCTCCTGGGTGACACAGATGGTCTTATTCTTGCCTTGTCAGCTCATCCAGTGCCTTTTCTAGTGATGTCCCCAAATAGTTGCTGATTTGTATCGAAAATATTGAATAGGCCATGAATGAGAGGCCATACTAGATTCTGGTCAAACAGCTACACATGAGACACCAGGACTTACAACAGTTCCTATTGCTTTTCCTCCATCCCTCACTCCCCTATTTATAAAACTTAGATTCTGTGGTTCACTTTTCTAATCACTCCCTGGCATATACCCTCAACTCCCTGCTCCTCATCCACCTGCCAAATAAAATTCTAGATTGGCTATTTCTTTCAACATCTTAAAAATTTCACTCTACTCTGTTCTTGCTTGCATAGTTTTTGGCAACAACAACAAAATAAGATTTAACAAAATAAAGATTTATTTTATTTATTTGAAAGGCAGAGCTACAGAGAGAGATAGAGACAGAGAGAGATGTCTTCCATTCGCTGGTTCACTCCCCAGATGGCCGCAACGGCCGGAGCTGTGTCAATCCGAAGCTAGGAGCTTCCCCCAGGTCTCCCAGGTAGGCACAGGGGCCTAAGGACTTGGGCCATCCTCCACTGCTATCCCAGGCCACAGCAGAGAGCTGGATCGGACGTGGAGCAGCCGGGACTAGAACCAGCGCCCATATCAGATGCCAGCATTTCAGGGCAGGGCTTTAACCTGCTGTGCCACAGTGCCGGCCCCAATAAAATACATCTTTAAAAACCAAAACTAAACCCTCTCAGTGGTACTGCCATTTGGCTCGGTGGTTAAGACGCTGCATGGGACACCTGCATCCCCTATGAGAAAGCCTGGCTCCTGCTCACGTGCAGCTTGGAAGCTGGCAAGTGACGGCCCAAGTACTTGGGTCCCTGCCATTCACATGGGAGACCCAGACTGAGGTCCTGGCTCCCAGCTTCGAATGGGCCATTGCAGACATCTGGGGAATAAGCCAGCAGATGGGAACTCGGTCTTTCCCTGTCTCTCTGCCTCGCAAATAAAATAAAATAAATAAATAAAATTTAAAAACAAAACAAAAATCCCTCTCACCAATTTAACATCCTACTATTGGGATGCATGCCCAGTCTGTTTCTCAATTCTTCTTCGAAATGGGTGTGAGTTTCTCGTCCGTTTTCCAGTATGAGAGTGGCTCTTGTCTGGGCACTGATGTGGGGTAAACAGGCAACAGTCTCCCCAAATAAACAGGAAAAGCAAAGAGATGGAATGAGGCGAGCAGAGATGCTAGATACCGAAGTTCAGAGACCAGAGATAAAAATCCAAGAGGCGAGGGCGTTCCCAATAAGAAACAAGAACAATGAAACCAGAACCAATGATCCAAGGCTTACTTGAAGATGAACGTAAATCTGCATATTTAAAGAGATCTTCACAGCACCGGAGGCATCAGTGAGAAAAGAGCTCCGCCTCTAGGACACTCTTGCAGAATTTTATTTACTTTATTAAAAAGAAAATTAGCTTTTCCATTATGAAAAGAATAAAGAGTATGATAACATACTTCTAGAAAACACAGATTAGCACAAGGAAGAAGATAGAAATTATCCATCAACCATCACCCAGAGAGAAATTCAGTTAGCATTTTGGTGCATTTCTTTCAGTCCTATTAATGTACCTCTCCTTTGTTTTTCCATAACTGTATTTTATGTAGCATACACAAATTTTATAAATATTAAAATTTAAGGTGATACATGTTAATGGAAGAAATGTTGAAAATTGGAGGAAAACTAAAAATAAAAAAGTTACCTAGAAACCACATACCCAAAACTAACCACAGTTAACACTGAGGTACATTTTTTATGGCCTTTTCTTTAAAAAAAAAGATTATTTATTTGAAAGGGGGAGAGAGAGGGAGGGAGAGGGAGAGGGAGAGGGAGAATCTTCCATCCACTGGTTCCACTGATTCACTCCTCAGATGGCCATGATGATCAGAACTGGGCCAGGTTGAAGCCAGCAGCCTGGAATGCTCTCTGGGTCTCCCATGTGGGTGGCAGGGGCCTGGGTACTGGAGCCATCATTTATTGCTTTCTCAGGCACATTAGCAGGGAGCTCCCTGGATCAAAAGCAGAGTAGCCTGGACTCAGATCACCGCTCTCAAATGGGATGCTGGCATTGCAGATGGCGGCTTAACCCACTGCACCACAATCCTGTCCCTACATGGCCTCTGTATCTACGACTTTTTTGGGCAGTCACAATTACACTGTGCAATCTAACTCAAAACGTAACATAGCTAACGTGGAACATTTCAGAGAGTCCAGATGGTAAACAGGATAGGAGTGCGTGGATAACATAAAAGGTTTGCTACAAGATGGCTTAATCATCTTAGCTGATGGGTAAAACCCGAATGCTGAGATCATGCAGGCTGGGTTTCAGACTCGCAGAGCCCCACGAGAATATTTCGCAATGCTTCCCGGACAGCACTGGGATGTGGACAGCACACGCTTTGTTTTAAGTTCTGTAGCGCAGTGAAGCTCCCGTGACAAACACATTTTCTGGTTCTGGGGAAGGCACAGAAGTAGCAAAGAGGGCAGCTGGAGGGCCAGGCCTCACGTCCTCGGCAGCAGGCTCCCTGCGACCCAAATAGAGCTCGGACTTTGGCATTCGGGCTGCATGAGCTCCTTTGTGCTGCAAAGTCTGCGGGGGGGGGGGGGGGGGGCAGGATGGGCGCTGCTTCACAGCCTTAGATGTTAGGAGAAAACCAGACCGAGCACGCAATGCAGTAACCTCAAGAAGACTAAAGGGAGGAATGAAAGTCCCCACTAAGGACTGATAGGGGGAGACTCTGCCAGTGATGACCCTACCTGAGCTGTGGGTCTGCTCCCCAGAAAACAGCAGCCACCGAGCTGCTCCACGTGCTCTGTCTTAGCCCTCTTCCTGTTGCTGTTACACAGACCGCAGACAAGGTAACTCACAGAGGTGTGTTTAGCTCATGGTTCCAGGGGCTGGGACATCCCAGAGCCTGGTCACAGCCTCCGATGATGGCTTCTGGCTGTGGCAGGAGCAGAGGGCCTCATGCGGCAAGGCAGAGCCAGGGTGCAAGCTGGGGCCGCCTTCCCTTTTGACAAGGCCACGCAAGCCACGGTGGGGCTTTTTTTTTATCTCCAAAAAGCCCCCCCTCCAGACCCCACTGACATAGGACTTTGGGGATGTGAGAATTCTGGAGGACAAATGTTCAAACCACAGCATGCTCCCACCCCCTCCCTCAGGCTGCTCCCACCTGGGCATGTGCGCCACCTCTGTCTGTCACTTGGGGTCAATGGTCCATGCTCCTAGCAAAGACTGGCGTCTCCTCCTTCAGCTCCATCCTGCCCCTGCTCAGCTACTGTTAAAAGAAACTCTTCCGAGGCCCCAACCTCTTCCCCTTCCCCAGCCACTATAGTGGGTAAAGTCATCACCTGCAGTGCTGGCATCTCATAAGGGTGCTGGTTCGAGTCCCAGTTGCTCCACTTCTGATCCAGATCCATGCTAACACACCTGAGAAAGCAGCAGAAGGTGGTCCAAATACTTGGGCCCCTGCACCCATGTGGGAGACCTGGAAGAAGCTCCTGGCTCCTGGCTCCTGGCTCCTGGCTTCAGATCAGCCCAGCTTCAGCCATTTCAGCTATTTGGGGAATGAATCAACAGATGAAAGATCTGTGTGTGTGTGTGTGTGTGTGTATATATATATATATATATATATATTACTCTGCCATTCAAATAAATTAATAAATCTTAAAAAAAAAAAAGACTATGTCCCTGCAAACAAGGTTCTAGTAAATAC